ATTTGTTCTTTTTAAAGAGTCGTTCAAGTTTCAATGATTCATCACATGGTATGGTCAGTGGCGCGGTACGGTCAGTGGTGCGGTACGAGGTATGGTCAGGTACGCGGTACGGTCAGTGGCGCGGTATGAGGTACGGTCAAGTATGCGGTACGGTCAGTGGCGTGGTACGGTCAGGTACGCGGTACAGTCAGTGGCGCGGTACGAGGTACGGTCAAGTACGCGGTACGGTCAGTGGCGCAGTACGAGGTACGGTCAGGTACGGTCAGTGTGGTGTGGTATAGCTGACCTCACCATGAATGGTCATACAGCAACATGTTGGCTTTGAGTAGGAAGCCAGCCATTTGGTGTACATCATACTATCATCCCATGTGAGTCTTCACTTCCTGAGCGCAATTTTGCCATTTACAACTTTGCTCCACCTCTCTGTGTTTTCATGTTCTCTGAATGCTTATGTTAATGAAATATTTGTCTTGTAATGTTAATAAACTCTTTGAAAACTTAGTTTTTTGTATTGCAGACAATTTAAGATGAGTTTGGATCAGATAAAACTAGAAAAATATAACTTAACTAGAAAATGAGCATTTTCTGCAAAAGTGTAAGAATGATAAATAATTTTGGTGAAATTTGCGGAAGAATCATTTGTTTATCAAGTTGTTAAAGATAAGACAAGCGATACAGAAGCTGAAGTCACAAAATGGTAGCTAAACTTAGAAAATGGGATTAACAGCTCTTTGAAGGGAGCCGAATCTTGTGGATTTGTTCTTTTTAAAGAGTTGTTAATTTTTCAGTGATTCGTCACATGGTACGGTCAGGGGCATTGTATGGTCAGTGTGGTGCGCTACGGTCATCAGTGGCGCGGTACGGTCAGTGTGGCGCGATACGGTTAGTGTGGCGAGGTACGGTCGGTGGCGCGGTACGGCCGGTGGCGCGGTACGGTCGGTGGCGCGGTACAGTCAGTGGCGAGGTACGGTCAGTGGCGCCGTACGGTCAGTGGCGAGGTACGGTCAGTGGCGAGGTACGGTCAGTGGCGAGGTACGGTCAGTGGCGAGGTACGGTCAGTGGCGAGGTACGGTCAGTGGCG